CTTAGGGAAGTTTCCATATGTTAAGCAAACATATACTTAAAACTGAAATAATGAAAATATTCCCCCTAAGATCAGAGACAAGAAGAGCATTGGTCTTGACTTTTTTATTCCATATTGCATTGGAAGTCTACAGTGAACAGATTCTAAGGTTGTCTCCATGATCCCAATCTCCATCTCCTGATATTCTTGTCCTTGCATAATGCCCTTCCCCTTCAGTGTGCACAGGACCTGTGTCCTGCTTTTAACACATACAATATGGCAAAGGTCATGGGATGTCACTTCCATCACTAAATTACATATGATTGTGACATCCATCTTTTGAGGAGACTCTCTCCCTTATTGGTTTTGAAGAAGCCTATGGAGAAGGCCATACAGCAAGCAACTGAGGATGGCCTCTGGTCAATAGCAAAAAGCTGAGGTCCTTAATCCAACAACTTGTTAGGAAACTGAATGGATCATTTCACAATCAAGCCTCAGATGATGCCATGGCCCTGGTTAGCCAACTTACTTGCAGTTTGTGAGACCCTGAAGTAGAAAATCCAGCTAAGCCATGCCTACTCTCTTGACCCATAAGTTATGAGATAATAAATGTATGTTGTTTTAAGTCACCAAATTTGTGGTATTATTGTTACACAGAAATAAATAAATAATACAAGGTTCTAACCAGTGCAATAAGGTAATAAAAAGAAATAAAGAGATATATATATAAACTATAAAGAAGGAAATAGAACTGTCATTATTTGAAGATGGCATGATAGTATATGTAGGAAAATCTACCACAGGTAAACAATTTGAATTATTAATTGAATTTAAGCAAAGTCACTAGATACAAAGCCAACATATAAAAGTCAATTATATTCCAACAAAAAACATATAGAAAATGATATTTTAATATAATTTTATCATTAAGTATCATTTATATTTGTATTATATTGTAATTATCATTAAGTATCATTTATATTTGTATTATATTGTAATTTTTTCAATTTATAATAGCATTAAAAATATCAAATATTTATGACTAAACCTAATAAAACTGTGGAAGACTTCTAAAGAGAAATCTACAAATTTTATTTAGCGAAATCAAAGAAGACCTAAGTAAATGGAGGGATATAACATGTACCATGTTCATAGACTGAGTAAATTAATGTTGTCATTGTCAATGACAATGAACTAATATTACTGTCCCCCATCAACATGTGAAATGTCAGTTCTCTCTAATTGATCTACAGATTCAAAGTATTTCCAATCAAAATCTCAGCAAATGTGTTTGTGGAATATGACAACCTCTTTCTAAAATTTAAATGGACAGAGAAAAGTTAATTATAAGCAAGAGAATAGAAGTAGAATGGTTAATCAAATTGAAGAATACTATTAAATTGAATACTATATGAAAATGAAAATAAACCACAGCTACAAGCAACATTGATGAAACTTATAAATATAATGAGCAAAAGAAGCCAAACACGAACAAGTATATATGTATAACTCCATTTCTATAATTGTCGAAAACAATAGACAATACTAATCTATAGTGTGTGAAATCAGGATAGTGGTACACCCGGGGGTTAAGTAGTGATTGGAAGGTAACACAGAAGGGTTTCTGTGGTCTAGTAATTTTCTGTTTCTTGATTTGTGAGTTTATTACATGGGTGTAAAATTATTTCAAGGAGTACACAATATTTACACAGTTTCTTGATAATTCGGTAACATTTACACACACACCAAAAAAAAGAATAAGGAAGCTTTTCATGTACTGATTAGGAATGATCTTCAGAACATATTATAAAGAGAAAAAAGCAAGATACAAAACTGTTTGTATAACATGCTACAATTTGTGTAACAGAAATATGTATTTTCATATTTGCTTATATATGCACAAGAAAGAAAATTATGTTACATATAATATTTCTTTATATATTTACGTAATGAATCTCACAAGAAATTCATAACACTGCTTGCCTCTGCTGATGGGCACTAAGAGTCCAGGGGACAGGAACTGTAGAAAGATCCTTCACTGTATATACAACTTGTATCTTTTGAATGTCAAACCAGGCAAATATGTTAATTATTCAGGAATTTTAAAAGAAAAATAATTCAAATTACCTTTATAAAGCAATAAAATATGTTAAATTTGTGTTATGAATTGTGTCACCAAAAGACAACTCTGATAGATCAAATGGCTGAAGATTTAATAGAGTTCTTAACAGAATATTCCTTCCCTGCAGTTTAGCTAAGATTCCTTAGAAGTACTCTGATGATATTAATTAGCAGAATGCCACAGACAGAAAAAATAAACTCTGATATAACAAGTACAAATAATTTAAAGTCTGTATATCACAGCCTACATATTGAATTTTACTTGAAAACCATATGAAACAACTCTGCTTTCCCTAACATTACACAATTTATGATCGGTGACAGCAAGGGCTGTAAATATGCCTAAATGTGAATGTTTGATTTTATTCAGTTTTCATATCATGCATCACAGAAATCAAAACAGTTTCTCTTCCATATTTAGGTTTAAATCATATTTGAAAGCAATCCAAGGATCACCCACCAGAAGAAGCTGGAATATCTAAACCTACTTCTCAAAATGAAGGCTGGTTGCTGCCTTCAAAGATTGTAAGACCAAAAGCTGAAGGTGCCCTAATAAACAAAAAAAAAACACTAAAATTTCTAGCATAAATTATATAACCTAAATATACATATCTACACATATATGTATATAGTGTGTGTATATACATATATATATATATATATATATATATATAGCATAAAGATAAGGATATACAGAAATTTACATAGTTAGACGGCTAATTTAAGAGGGCTCAGAGTTCCAAAAGATGCTTGGTTAAATTCTCCTTTATAAACCTAAACCTCCCATTTACCACATTTAAGGAGAATTTTCTTCTTCCACAATAAATTGTGATAGTTAATGACTATTCTCAAGTCAAGATAATTAACGATTATTCTCAAATTCAAGATAATGAATTTATCTTTCTCAAAAAGACAAATATCACATTTTTTGCAAACATTAAAATAGTCAATGCTTAAAAGTTCCTATGATTTAAGCTTGTCCAAAATCTGTCAGCTTGCTTGTTTATGTCGTTAGCAGTTAAATTCACCTCAACTGAGATAAAATTATAATTGGAAATTATCACCATCAATTATTTCTTCCCCTAAAAGGGCCATAAAAGGAGTCAGAACATTTCCTTCAACATTCCAATTGTGAGGGGAAAAAACCCCATCGTGTCCATTAACACAAAAGCATAGGGCCAGATCTACTCAAACCATTGAAACAAATAAACAAAAAACCTTACAAGTGGTAAAGAAATAGAAATATTATAACAACTCGTGACTGATCTTTAAATTTTTCAATATCCTGAAATTTCTGCTACAGTAGTTATTTTAAAATTTAAGATAAAATAACCAAAATTAGACCTAATCTAAAGAAAGATATCCTATCTAGTTTTAGCAAATGTCTAAAATATAAATTCCCTCCTCTCAAAAAATACTAGATATAAGAAAAATTCCTATTGATGCTGAATCCTAAAATACTATGGATGTAAAACTTATGAATACTACTCAGAATATTGAGGGTTAATGATTTGAACAGTATAGTGTGCATATGAAAAGAAAAAGAGAAAGCTTCAGGGAGAAAAAGGAAGAATGTCTGTATAGCTGCCATCCTTTTTTCTCACCATACCCATAAAAACAAATTTACCTCATTAAGCTCTGCCCATATAGTGCTGATTCCTTATGAACTATTGTTATTCAACAAACTAAAATGAGCACTATCTTGAGCTCTCAGCAAAGACTGCCTGCCTCTATTATTCACCTATTTCAGTTTGAATAGTACTTGCTGATTTGTATAAATTTACTTCTCAGAGGTTTCTTTTCCTTTCATTAACATCAAATTTTCCTGTGATGGCCCTGCCCATTCACTGCAAAGAGTCTGATTGTTTTCCAAATAGTAAACAAATTTACTTTATAGTTAAATTACTGAGACAGGTAATAAAACACAAATTTTACTTCATCTCAGGTGGATTGTCAGTTAAGTGGATGTGTGTTTATGTTCTAGGCCTCGTTGAATCCCACATCAGAAACATTAAAATTTGGTACAGTTTGTTACAAATAAAATCTAAAAACTTTTCCCATACTCATTCATATAATTTTCTCTTTCTGATTATTAATATTCATTATAAAATGGAGGAATCTGAATTTTGATCAAATAACCCTCTTTGAAAACATTAATCTTGGATGTGTACTGTTCCTCAATAATTAGTACCAATATTCTTGGATATCTAAAACTTTTGTCACAATTTTTTTTAACATAAAAAAATATTTAAGCAAAATGGTGAAAGTGTAGGAGGTACTTGCCACGATCAAAAGGCGTAGAAGTACATTTAGTATTTATCTAACTTTTAAATTTTAGGTCACGGTTTTCAACTCCCTGGCCTAGAGAAAAGAATACATCATTGCTGAAGTACTGGTTTGTAGTGAGAAGAACAAAAATGTTAGGAGTTCCCCATTAGCAGATGACTGAATCTAAATCAATTATGAATTTTCTATGAAGTAAACTATTACAAAGCAAGTATAAACATTAAATTATTTCTAGCTACTAAGATTATGAAAAAACAGTCTTTCAAAAGTTAACCTGAAACTTGCTCAGGAAATAATTTTGCTGTGCATTAAGAAATTGTTTAGAGCCAGCCCTGATGGCCTAGCAGTTAAAGTTTGGTGTGCTCCGCTTCAGTGGCCCAGGTTCGGTTCCTGGGAGTAGAACCACACAACTCATCTGTCAGTACCTGTGCTGCAGGAGCAGCTCACAAAAAAGAACTATGGGACTTATAACTAGAATATACAACTATGTACTGGGGTTTTGGGGAGGAGAAAAAAAAAAGAGAGAGAGGAAGATTGGCAGCAGATATTAGGTCAGGGTGAATCTTTCCCAGCAAAAAAAAAAAAAAGAAATTGTTTAATTCATACATTCTTACCGTTCTCGATTAAATTTAAGAGAATGAAGAATAGCTGGCCTTTTTTGTCTAAGATTCCACAAATGAAGTGTGTCATCTGAACTTGCACTGACCAAAGCACCCTGGAACAAAAAGAAGACAAAGTGAGTGATTTACTTAATTTAGGATTTTTTGTGAAGCAAAAACAAGAAGCTGAACAATTTACTGATTTTTTCACTGCTGGAAGAGTTATTTGTATCTATATCACCCAGAGATACAAGGAAGGACAATCGCACATATTTCAATCAGGAAGGCTAAGGATGCTGAAAGTGGAAGAAGCAAGTGAAGCAAGTGAACTACTGCATACGGATTGGTCGGGATGACCAGCTCAAGGAATATGCATTTACCTATAGAAAGAAAGAATTATTGTAAGCATCATTGTGACTACTGAGGTATTTTTAACACAAAATTTTCTTTGGAAATTTTCTTTGGAAAAAACTAAGTTTAATTTTTTTTGTTTCTTTTAGTCACATATATACTATGTAGCTTTACAGAGAAGTAAATATCCAACCCAGTTTTAAAACTGCAATCTGATCATATAAAAATTCACCATTTGTAAGAATTTTCTACATAGTTGGAAAATATATATTCTTCCTAAAAAGTATATCTGGTGTATTTTAATTTGTTTTTATAGTTCAAGTTTCATCTGCGATAAAAGAAAACATCTATAATAAAACATTTCTTCAACTAGATTTCAGTATAACTACAGAAACAACACTAGCATTCTTTTTATACAAAACCTAAATACAAATTAATCCTATTTCAAATACAATAGAATGTTTTCTACCTCTTAATATGGCACACACCATATGGGCAGATAACTAGCTGCCATATATGACTTCACACACACACATGTATATACACATATATATATACATATATATATGTGTATATATATGTATATATACACACACACACACACACACACACAAACTATTTATTTCACTGAGTTAAGTAAGATCATCTTAAACTATGTCAGAACTTCTAGTATTATGAGTTTCCCAGCTAAAAATGTCAATGCTTGTCCTATGACACAGCCTGAAGCTACTCTAGAGTATTGAATGTGTTCTGTAAAAGAGATCTTGCAGAATCACGGTGCTCCTGAGATACCTAAAATTCTTTTCATATTTTCCAAAGAACTCTGTTACAAGTAACCTTTCACAGTTTATAACACCAATCACAGACATCAAAATGATTACCCTCTTTAGATGATAGGAAGAACTATATTGAAATCCCTATAATTTATTTCTTCTTTAGGAATTAGAGGAGAGAATAAGATAGGAATAAAAATGCTCTTTCATAAAAATTCCTAAGACAAAAATTGCTCATATAGCCTATGATGGATCTCTTTCTATTACATACCTGTGATTTCAGTCTCAAAGAAGAATAGCTTTTAACACACCAATCATAATCAGAGAACATATCCATTAAAAATATTTAAAAATTTCTATAATTTGCATATTTGTAATAAATACACATGTTCAAAGAGGTACACATTGATATATACATTTTAACATGAACTCATAGATAATTACATTCCATGCAATAAAATGCACCCTACACATGTCTTGAGGATTTTTATGTTTGTTTGCTTGTTTTACTTGTAAACTGTTCCCAAATGTTTCATATATACAAACTGGAAAATTATTAGGATTGCTTGCCACAATTTTTTTTAAGATATAAGACACCGATCTCATTTCTCAGGAAAGTGGAAATTCACTTGGGATAGGACAGAATGTGATATATGAAATTAAGAAAACATTCTCTACAGTAAATAGTTATGTGCTACACAGGAGATACAACATGTCAAAGGCAATGGAATTAAAATAAAGCAGCATATGTTCAATAATAGTGTAATAGATGAATAAATCTAGGGAGGAAGTCAGTATTGTAATTCTCTGATAAAACTAAGAGGTAACTTATTGGAGGGAAGTGAACAGGACCACTGAGCATAACAGCACCAAAAGAGATATAAGACACATGAAAGCAAGCACATCAGCAGGGTGTCTAGGGCTCATTTACAAAAGCAAAGTGAATCTACAAGAAGCACTACTAATGAAGATCTGTGAAAAGATTAAAAACTATGAATAAAAACACCAGTCATGAGGTTGGAAACTGGGAAGTCTGGAAAAAGGTAGAGAAACTGAGTGTGAGGTGGATCAAGGTGAGTAGGTCAGGATAGACAATGTAAACAATGGAAGGATGTTGAAGGCTTGTCTTTATTTATTCTTAGCTATGTAGCACAGAGGCAAATTAGGACCTTGAAGACAATTCTCAGAGGGCTGGACCCAGAGAAAATCACCTAGAAACGATTTATGCCTGCCAGTACACATCCGTACACAAGGCAAAAGGCTGAGTTCTCTCAACTAGGAGCTACAGAGTAACACTGAGACTTCAAAAAGGTTATCATTCTAGATACTAATGACTGGTTATTATAATAAAATATTTTTTAAAAATGTTTTCCCTATTCTTCCTTATCTCCCTCTCTCATTTTGGTACCTCATAGGAAGTATGCCTACAAGGTAAAATACTCTAGGTTTGTGAATAAGGAGAATCTCACAGCCTTCTGAAAAAGATTTTGAGCCAAGAGAAGTAAAAAGTGGACATCTGCCAATACCACAAAGTTTTCATGCCTCAGGTATCTCTAATACAAAGTTCTATGAACCATTTTATCCATGTTTACAATTATAAATTCTTAGAAATATATACACAAATATATGAAGACACTGAATAAAAGATCATTGTTCAGGCCATAAGAAAGCAATCAGTGGTATTTCATTTTTTTTCCCTCAAGGCACTGAGTTCAATCTGCTAAGTGCCTGAATTTGGTATGGCACAAAAAAAACAAATAACTCTTAAAGCATTTTTGTATTGACTGGCTCACTTAAAACAGCTCTAGAAGACTCAAAGATCCACTGTAAAAATCTGAATCAAGAAGCCTTTAACAGCCTTCAACTAATGGAACATCTGCAATCTTTCCAAGCTTTATAAATACATGCTCTGTCTTTAAGGAGTTATTTATCACCATAAGTCTATAAAACAGTGATAGGGTAGGCAGTCAATTGTCATAGTAGCTATGGATATATAAATAAATGTAAATGAATACACATGCCAACAAATGCATATGGAGATACATACATTAAAGAGCCCATACGTAAACAAGTAAAAAAAAATTATTTCATGAAGATAAAGACAAAACATGAAGTTAGTGCTGGATTATAAAATTTAAGTTGGTGGGAGGAGAGTGCATAATGGAAAGTTTAATGATCAGTAAAACAATCAAAGGATTTTAGTAATTTTTTAAAAACCATTTAAGTAAGTAATCTATAAATTACGCTACACAATCACAATAACAGAATCTTCTGGTATATACAACTTTTTTCCTTTAAAATTTATAAACTGACAAACACAGGAGTATAGTCTTTTATGAAAAATGTGACCATGAATAATATTGCATATATATAAATATATACATCTTTAAGCATTTAGAATCATAGTATAAAAAAGATTATATCAACTAATGCAGTGTATATGTGACAAATAGTCAAAAAGACTCTTACCTCATTGATCAAGAATTGGAGCTGCAGAACAGCTGCACCACTTTCATGTTGGCAATAACAATCAACACCAGGTCTCCCGAGTCTAATATAATAAAAGTCAAGGATTCTAACATTTTAATTAGCACCAATATTAATTAGCAACTAATCTTTTTCTTTTTAGTTTTCCTTATTTTTATAAAGAGTTGAAAAATCTTAGTCTTAATTCATGCAAATTACATTAAATAGCACAAGATGTCAGCAAAATGGCCAAATAAGACATCCTTAGCACCTATTTCCCCCAACAACAATAATTTGGCACCCATGCACAGAAAAAAGTGCCTTCGTGGGAGCTTTGGGATCCAGGGAAGAGACTGTGAAACCCCAGTGCAGTCCAAGAATGAAGCGAGCTGTTTTGAAAAGACAGGCTTGAACCCAGGTGGCTGACTCGCTCACTGTAGTCTTGGCTACAGAAAAGGAAATAGCTCCCCACCCCTGAGAACTTGGCTACATCCCTGTTTGGCTTTTGGTCTGTTACCAGTATATGCTATATGCCAGGGACCCAGAGGAGTTACACCCACCCATACATCAGGTAATAGGCAGACAGATCTTGGTCCCAGCTATGGATCCAGAAGTGGCCTTTGAACCAGCTCCAGCCCCTCTCAGCTGCAGTGCGGGGGCCACTGGAGGTAAACCTGCCAAATTTTGTAAGACTGTAGATTCTGAAATGGCCCTGTAACTGGGCTCCAGCCCATCCCAGCCACAGTCCAGGAACAATCCTGCTGACACAGGGACCCTGTAGGAGACACTCTTGTTTGAACCTCTAGAGATCTTGAAAGGGCCCAATGCTAGGTATCAGCTCCCTCCTTCAGTCTATGCTGAGCTGCTGTGTAGAGCAGCCCTGCTGGCACAGGTACCAGACACAAGAAATTTGCATCTGCATCCCTGGAAATCCTGTAAGGGCCCTATACCCAGCCCCAGCCTCCACACAGCCATAGTCAGACAGAAGTCCTAAGGGTGCAGGGTCCCAGGGGGAAACACTACTGTCTGCAACCCTAGAGACTCTGAAAGGGCCCTATACTCGGTTCCAACCCCTCCCAGCTGCAACCCATGAGCAGTCCTACTAGTACAGCGACCTGGAGGGAGACCCAACTGTACCCTAGGAGATTCTGAAAGGGCCGTATATGCAACTCCAGTCACTCCAGACACAGTCAGGGGCCAATCCAGCCCATACATGACCTGGAGGGACACACACCCATCCTTGCCTGCAGAGCCAGGTCTTTGAACCTCAGTGTTGGTTGTGGAATCTGAAATAGTCCTGAGACTCAGTTCTAGCACCTCTCAGCCACAGTCCAGGGACAGTCCTGCCCACCTCGGTACCCATCCAGGGACCAGGCAGCAGTTCTCCCAGGGACCTGGTGGGGAGCCACACCTACCATTTACCTGGTAATAGGCTTGCTTTCTGAGGAGCCATATGTAGACCCTAAAGCAGACCCTTGTCCCAGTGCCACCATACAGAACAAGGTACTGGAGGTAGTCGCATCCACCCAGGGAACAGAAGGGATCCACAATGGCCCAAGCCCTGGTAACAAGCCATCAACTACAGACCCCACTGCAGACCCAGTGACACCCTTGTAAGTGGCTCCAACATAGCCCAACTGCTGTGTAATTTCACAGGTAATCCTATCAACCCAGAGAACAGACAGGAGAAGGTCTTTATCCTCTAAAACCAGTCTGTAAAGACTGGAAGAAGTGTTTTCTCCCACAAATGCACAGACACCAATGCAAGGCTATGTGGATCCCAAAGAATCAGGCAAATATAATACCACCAAAGGAAACTAATAGAACTCCAGTGACTGACCCTAAAGAAATGGAGATCTGTGATTTGCCTGACAAAGAATTCAAAATAATCATCTTAAAGAAACTGAATGAAATGCAAGAGAACACAGATAGACAACTAAACAAAATCTGGAAAACAATTCATGAACAAAATGTATTTAATAAAGAAATAGAAACCAAAAAAAGAAACAAACAGAAATCCTACAACTGTAGAACACACACAACTGAAAAATTCATAGAGAGCTTTGACAACAGCCCTGATCACACAGAAGAAAGAACTGGCAAACTTGAAGACAAATAATTTGAAAATAACCACTTACAGAAACAAAAAGAAAAAAGCAATGAAAAAGAGTAAAGAAAGTCTAAGTGAATTACAGGATACCATCAAGCAAATGAACATTTGCATCATGAGACTTTCAAAAAGAGAAGAGAGAGAGAAATGGGCAGAAAGTTTATTTAAAGTAATAATAGCAGAAAACTTCCCAAATCTTTGGAAAGAAATGGACATCCAGGTACAGGAAGCTCAAAGGAACCCAAGCAAGATGAAGCCAAAGAAGACTACCTTGAGACACACTGTAATCAAAATATTAAAAGTCCAAGACAAGGAGAAAATTTGGAAAAAAAGCAAGAGAAAAACAACTCATCCCAAAAAAAAGACGTCCCATAGGGCTATCAGTGGATTTCTCTTCAGAAACCTTGCAGGCTAGGAGGTAGTGGAATGATATATTCAAAGCGATGAAAGAAAAAAACCCTACCGATCAAGAAGACTATACCCAGCAAAATTATCCTTCAGAAATGAAGGAGAGATAAAGACATTCCCAAACGAAAGCTAAGGGAGTTCATTACCATTATACCATTGCCATTACAAGAAATGCTAAAGGAAGTTCTTCAAGTTGAAATGAAAGGATGCTATGTAACAATATGAAAAAATAAAAATACAAAACTGACTAGTAAGAGTAAATATATAGTTAAACTAAGAATACCATACTACTATAATTGTTGCATATAAATCACTTTTTTGTTTTTAATTTTTTTTTAAGATTTTATTTTTCCTTTTTCTCCCCAAAGCCCCCTGGTACGTAGTTGTGTATTTTTTCAGTTGTAGGTCTTTCTAGTTGTGGCATGTGGGATGCTGCCTCAACGTGGCCTGATGAGCAGTGCCATGTCTGCACCCAGGATTCAAACCTGTGAAACCCTGGGCTGCCAAAGTGAAGCACATGAACTTAACCACTCAGCCACAGGGCTGGCCCCTATAAATAACTTTTATCTCTATTATAAAAGCTAAAGAAAATAATATTAAAAACAACTATAGCTACAATAATTTGTTGATGGATACACAATATAAAAAGACATAAAAGTGTGACAAGACCATTAAATGTTAGGGGAAGAGAAGGGAGAGTGTAGAGTTTTTGTATGTGATTGAAATTAAGTTATTATTAGCTTAAAATAGATTTATATCTAAAAGATGCTTTCAGTAAGCCTCATGGAAACCATAACAAAAACTATAGTAGTTACATAAAAGAGAAAACATGCACACAAAAAATATACAAAAATAAATCACAAATGAAGGCAGTTAAAAGAGGAAGAAAGAAACAAAGGAACTAAAAAACTTTCAGAAAACAAAGAAATGGCAACAGTAGGTAATTAATCAACAATTACTTTAAATGTAAATGGGCTAAATCTCCAATCAAAAGACACAAAGTGGCTGAATGGATTGAAAAACAAGATCCAACAATATGCTGTCTACAAGAGACTCTCTTTAGCTTTACAGACACACATGGGCTGAAATTCAAGGGATGGTAAAAGATATTCCATGTAAATAGTAACCAAAAGAGAGCAGGAGTGCCTATACTTATGTGAGATAAAATACTTTTAGTCAAAATTGATCACAAGAGATAAAAGGTCACAACATAGAGATAAAGGGATCAATTCACCAAGAGGATATAAAAATTATAATATACATGCACCCAATATTGGAGCACCTAAATAGTTAAAGTAAGTATTAACAGAAGTGGATGGAGAAATACACAGCAATACAGAACAGCAGAGGACTGAAACCCTCCTTTCAACATTGAAGACAGAATTAATAAGGAAACAGTGAACCTGAATAACACCATAGACCAAGTGGACTAACAGACACATACAAAACATTCCATTAAATAGCACCAGAATACATATTCTTTTCAAGTGCACACAGAACATTCTCCAGGATAGCTCATATGTTGGGGCACAAAGCAAGGAGAATGAAACCACATCTAGTATCTTTTCTCACCACAATGATATTAAACTAGAAATCAGTAATAGGGGGAAAACTGAAAAATTCACAAATAAGCGGAAATTAAACAACAATCCTGAACAACCAATGGATCAAAGAAGAAATCAAAAGGGAAATCATAAACTATCTTCAGACAAATGAAAATAAAAACAAAACATACCAAAACTTATGGGATTCAGGAAAAGCAGTTCCAAGAGGAAAGTTTATAATGACAAGTGCCTACATTAAGAAAAAGAAATATCTCTCTGGTGGGCGGAGCAAAATGGCAGGGTGAGCTGACCCGGGATTCTCTCCCCTCCAAAATACAACAAAAGATTGGAAGAACTGAATTTCAGAGAATAAACATAATGCCAGCTCATTAGAGACCTACAATACCAAGAAGGCGGAGATCATAAACCTTGCTTTACACCTTTGGAGGCGCTGGAACGGTAGGAGAGAACATCGCTCCCTCCCCTAGAGTCTGCCATCGCTGCAGCGCAGGTCAGGAAGGAGCCGGGGAGGGGCCGCGTGACCGGGGGATCATCCAGGACTCCTGCCGCTGATTCAGTGCAGACCCGCTGACGGGGGGAAAGCTTCCGTCCGCGGGGACCCTATAAATCAAGGGCCTTGGGAGACCAGAGAACAGAACTGATCTGAACCCAGACCGGCATGTGTGAGTAACAGCCCCTCCCCCCCAGCAAAGCCAGTGGGCGCAGCCATCTTGCCCCAAGGCGGAGAGCTAACACGCCGCTCTCGACCCCCATCTAGTGGTGACAGGCTGTAACTACAACTGAATTCTACCACCATGAGAAAAAACCGCTCCTCTACCATCCAGCAATTTATAAAAGCCCCAGACCAGAAGGAAAACAATAAAAACACAGAATTAAGTCCTGAGGACTTGGAATTAGGTAAACTAAGTGATAATGAATTCAGAGCAGCTATAATCAAAAAACTCAATGAGGTAGAGAGAAAGAGAAACAAGCTGAGTTCTGGAGTTACTTCACAAAAGAGAT